TATAACTATTTATGATCGATCGATCACAAATATTGTGATTAATCATGAAATGTTGTGCTTGATTATAATAGTCTCGGTTAGTTATAACTTTTTCTTTAGTCTTCCACCCATGTCTCAACTTTCACGGCCTCAAGGCCCTCAACTCTCTCTCTCTCTCCTCTTCTCTCTTAATTGCTTGTGACACCATCTGCTGAACACTCCCCAACAAATAAAACCTAAAGAAAAAATTTACTTGGTGAATGATGATGAGGTGATATTACAAATACTAACATTAACTTTTGCTATGCACCTGAAAGCAGAAAGCTGCAACCCTATCTCAGTCAATCACAAGGCCTGTTATGGGTGAATACGGCCGGAGAGGCTTGAACATGGCCAGATTTTGCCATGTTAACGTGTTCAGTTTTGGAGAGTTGATGGGCCAAAAAATATGAGGCCCATCTTGCCCGAATCATAAAAAAACACAAAAATCCAATTTCCGAACTATCACTACTTTCAAACGTATTTCTAAATTTACCACAGTTTTCCTAAATAAAGCTACAGTTAGGTGGAAATAAGTTAGAAATAACCGGTGGTCTAGTGAAATACCGGCCTAACTTCTCGATTAAATATAACGGTCAACCTTAACGTGAACACCAAAACTCGAACCTCTAACTAGATTCGTTTTCGAGAGATAATCGCTGGACGCTTTTCTTTGTTCTCATCTCTTTCTTTAATTATATAAAAAAAAAAAAGGTTAGAAATAATGGTACAAAGAAGAGAAAATTATAAAATGAAACGATTTGGTTAAAACGCAAAAAAAGTTCTAATGGATTCTCTCACCACTGGTCATTCCAAGCCATCAGGGAGATGAAAACGATCCAGAAAGACATCCGTAACTTTGCCAAAAACTCCGCTCAGTTAAATTTCCTGGCATTAAACGATCTTAATAACACAGACTCCACTCTGGCTTGCATTTCAAACAAGGACGGGAAAACAAAGCCATTGCCCGGTGTTCGTGACACAGAAGCACCCACTGGCACTGGAATTGAGTTGAAGCGATCTGCTATATATTAAGGAAAAACTATCCAAACCACAAATTCTTCGAAGTCCTGGCTATAGTATTAATTCCAAATACATGCAATCACCTCTTTACTAGTCGTAAAACCAAATTCTCCAACAAGAACGTATTTTGGATTTGGAAGTAGTACCGTGTGTTTGTCTACCCCCTTGGTATTAAATTTATAGCATTTGAGGTCATGCAACTAAATTACCATATCAGTGGAAACCAAAGGTTAAAAGTACGTTGAACATCCAAAAGCACACTTCATAGTTTCAAACGCCAATTCCCCATATAAATCACAAGGAAAAGTTATGTTTTAAGGAGGCATGAACCGAACCTTTTCTTTTGGCCCGTTTCGTACTGGGACGGATCACACTTTTCCATCTATTCATTACATATAAATAGAAGATCAAAGTCACAAGGAAAGGGAACCATCCTCCCACACATGCCAGCAAACTAACCCATGGCATACTTCTGAGTCCAGCTCCGTGCAGTTGTCTCATACTTGCTCTTGTCTGTCTTGTACATATGAGCAATCTCAGGCACCAAAGGATCATCAGGATTTGGGTCCGTTAACAGAGAACAGATAGAGAGCAACACCTAGAAATGAACCAGGCAAAAAATAAACCTAGTAAGTTGTCCCGTCTAAGATATTGGAAAAGTTTGTCAGTTGGTAAGGATTTACATGACGAACTAGAAAACTTTCCCGTTTCCTTGGCCCAATCATTTTCAGAACTTAAAGACACAACTTAAAAGGCCATTAATCTCATAAAACTTCAAGCATAAAGTACTAAAAAATTGATAGAATAGGTCTTTCAAAAAGTAGTTCAACCCCCACCCACCCCGCGCGCGGGGAGTCCCTCCTCCTCCTTTCTTCTCCACTCTTCCCAACAACACACATAATAGAGAGAGAAAGAGTAAAAGAAAAACAAGTGACTCCATCCATGAACATGTAAATTTTTTGAAAGCTGTAATATTATATATAACCCATAGTTGACTCTTTCGTATATCAACAACCACTTGCAAATGTTAACTTCTTGTGTAAAACTTGAGCCCGATAGTGATTCTTCCCAGTACGAGATTTCTTGGTGTACATTCCCAACCCATAGCAAGTTCCAATGAATACGGAAATTAATAAGCAAGCTAAAAATCAGGCTATTTATATTTCAACATCCAAATCAAATTTTGGTGCACGAAATATTTCACAGTAGTTGCATTGCAAAATAGAACAATCACCTTGGATATAGTAAGGGCAGGGCTCCACTGCTCCTTCAGAATATCAAGGCAAATGCTCCCATTGCTGTTAATATTAGGGTGAAAAACCTTAGTTCTGAAAGCAACCTGTCAAAACAATCCAAACTATATTAAATGATAGAAATTCAACAATGGAAAAAAAGAAGTAAAACTAAGATAATACCTACTACACCTGACCCAGATATTATACAGATCAACAAAAATGATTAACCTGGATAAGGGTTGCACTTAATTGTGAACATAAGAAATGACTGGCCATTCTCACAGTATCTACATCAGAATAACATTCCAAGGTTTCAATGTCCGGCAATAAAACTTAGTATTCCCAACATGACTAGGTACAAAAAACGTGCCATAATACACACACAACACAATATGTAAAGAACTGAAGTTCAATTTCCAAACCAAAAACTAGACAGTAATATGTGTGGAACGGGTTAAAATCAAAATGTAAAAGTCACCATTACCAACTCTAACTAGGCCAAGCATATCCTAACCCATTACCGTACCCTTTGCATTTAATTAACATCAAAACACACAGATAAAGCTTGTTGTCCCGAGAATCTTCTAAGTCTTTTTCATCAGTTTTTTTGGGACTGTGCAGTACAGAATCAAGCCAATTTGACCCCTTTTGAAAGTAAAGAATTTTTCTTCCTCGTTACAAAACCACAACCCTAGAAGCTTTCACGACCTATACCCACATGAATATAATTGTAAACAGGAAAACCCTAGGTTCCTGAAGTGACCAATGTCAAGTGTAAAAGGGAAACGGAAAAGTTAAACAGTTGGAACCACCAGTCTAAAATCCTACTTTCACAATAAATTAATCGCTACCACTTTCAACCACCTATCATTAGGATTTACTTTGTCGCAACCACAGCAGCACCCACAACTCCAATTCTTCAATAAAAGGTCATCACCATCCAAAGAAAGCCATAAGCCTCTACTAATAGCCACCACCTTCACATGCAGCACCAACCACAACACTCCTAACGACCTGCAGCAGATAGTCACCACACTCATCTGAAAGTCACTCACTACCACTCATTGATCATCACCACCTTTTTGTGCACCACGTCCATTCCTCTTTTCCAACATTTTTCTCTACTTGAATATCAATACATTTAGCAGTACCTGCAACTCCTCTTTCTTATTAGAAGAATCACAACAAAGACTAAAACATGGTCTCATATCTAGCCTCGCAGCTATTTTTGCCACTACACAAGAACCTTTTTCCTCCCTACCCCTAATAGCAGTATCAAGCCCAAATTAATCCCGCGGATACATATAATTTAGAAGAATATGAGAGTGATTCATACACAGTATCTCTTTCTTTTATCAATGGTTCGACCAATTGGTATATTTCCACAAATAATTGAAATTCAATTTCTGGATCGATATCTTCAATTTTTAGAAACTTATAATGTTCTTCTGTCAAACCCTAATCAATGAACCTAAAAAATCCTTTAAATTGTATCTGATTAAACCCAGGTATTGTAGACATTTCCTCATTTCCATCCCGGAGCATTTTTAATTTCCCATGTATTGCCTCATTCTTCATCGAATCATATAGATGATTTAGCAATGATGGAATTTATATTCTGTTTACTGAATCAAATGAAATTTTACTCAACTCCATATATGGAATTGAATGTATGAAATACGTATGAATGGAGGAATAAAGAGAATTTTCTACTAAAATTGGAATTTGCAATAGATAAAATGGAAAAGAATTGATAAAACATTCCTAAAAATAGAATTTCACCACTTATGTTATGGGATTTGTATAGAATATCAAACAAAACTTATTCAATTTCTACCATTATTATGATATTACATATTCAAATCTGCTTGATTCCCAGAAAAGAAAAAATTGGATTCGGTATTCAATCTTTTCGGTGAGATAACAACATAAAAATAAGAAACAATATAGAATCCATTTTTTTAGCACTTAACCTTCCCTTTTCCGGATTCCATTGTTCAAAAAATGATTTGCAAAGAAGTGAGATCTTTTTACCGATTTTTTAATAGAATTCGTAGAATACGATTGGTAAGTGTATACGAAGGGTTATATTCATAGTTATCAAATCGTGTATCGGAAGGCGTATCGTAAGATACAAATATTGTATCGTATCGTGTATCGTAAGATACGATGCAATTTTAAATAAATAATAAAAAAATATATATACCTTTGAAAAAAAGTCATACACTCATAAAAAATATAGCATTTCATTAATACTCCACCAACTATTCAAGTTATCAACATAATCCACTACTATTATAATGCAAAGTTCACAACCATAGTTCACTAATTCAAACTTTAAACACCAAAGAGACTTCTAATCCAAATTTCTAACATCTATTTTGAACTCAATCTTCAATTTCAATTGAAAATGCATCATCATCATCATCATTGTGATCGGATGCCAACAAGTCTTCACTTGTTGTTTTTTTTAAAAAAAAATCAGAGCACAAAACAACGTCGTTTTTAAAAAAAAAAAAAAAATTGCACGTATCGTGCGTATCGTACCGATACGTATCGTATCGTAAAAACGTATCGTGTATCGGACGATACAACGCAAAAACGATACATAACTACGATCCGTATCGTTTTAGGGCTGTATCGTAACGTATCGTACGATACGTATCGCGTATCGTACGATACTAACAACTTTGGTTATATTTATTAAACACGTGAATAGATAGCTATATATATATATATATCATATCCAACTTCTCCTTTATTGCCGTTCTATTCGGGATGGTCCTTTTGAGACTATGACAAGAGATAAAAGGGTTGCAGCTCTAGTAATTAGATAGCTGCTTGGGAACCCTCTGCTGGCAGATTTTTTTCATGCAGTCCCCAACAAAGCCGGGGAAGAGGCCACTTCTTTGCCCTGATGATTCCACAAATCTAAACACCCCAGGTTTTGGACACCAAAGGAACATAAAGGCACATGACTTGTGAATTTAATCATTAGACTTCTACTCGGTTTCATCAAAATAACATTCCAAGAAAGTGGTTGCAAACATCAAATGATCAAATATAAATAAGGCCAAATGCATTTACTCTAACCATATTAATGACATATCAATATCTTACGATCACATACCAAAAAATATATACCCAGATCCCAAACATATTGATATAATAACACATATAACTGTTAGTTCTTTGAACGAACCACCCAATTAGAAAAAATACAGAAATATACTGCACCGAATATAAAGATGATGAGATTCAGATATATTGACAAACTTATTGCCAATATTGTGTATAGTTTACCCCATAGTTCCAACCAAAATTTAAAAAGAAAAGACATTAATCTAGCTAGGAAGAGGATGTCAATACCACATTCTCCTAGAATTAATCACAGCACATTGAGTACCTTAGGTGGCTTAAAGGGATAATCTGGAGGGAAATGAATAGTAACAAGAAACACGCCACCAGCGTAGGGACTGTCAGGAGGACCCATAATTGTTGCTTGCCAGTGAAACATATCCTCAGCAACTGGTCCTAAAGTGTACACGCAAAAACAGAGATAAAACAAAGGAGCAATTGCTAGATGGACATGAGCACAAACATTCTATAATAGATGCTTAGTCTCAAGTTTTTAATATTATGAATGTCAAGGTATTCTTGCATAGATAACCCAACATATGAGAAAAGAAATTACTTCAAAGAATGCTCCATCAAGCACAAAGGTGCAGTAGAATATCAATCGTGCATCCTACAGTCCTCAATGATCAGATGATTTAACTATTTTCCCTGCAAAGATACCAAGTCTACACATATGGGCCGTGGGACTTGGGCCCCCTTTAGATTCTACACTTGCGCTATTTTGTCCATTGAACTTAATGCTGTTTTCAAGAACTTATTAAGCTGAACCCCTCAAGAACACATTCAATTTGGCCCCCTCAATTAAGTAATACAGTATTTTTCTTCTATTGATTCCCCTTTTCCTCACCTGCATGCGTACTAAATAGCAAATGACACCATGTATATGAAGCTACAAACTCAACTACAACTGCAGTATATGTATCACAATAGAAGATATTTATGGTGAGTTGCCAGAGTACCCCCCCCCCCCCAAGCGGTCATGTGTAAATAAATACAAAATTTCTGGCAAGGTAAGTTCATGCAAAAAATCTACGGCGGACTATGCAAATCCAGCAAAAAAAAAAAAGCTACCATAAACAAAGGCCGATACTTTCAGAGACAGATCGTACCAGCGCTGCACGAGGTAGGAGGATCTTTCTGAAGATCCTTGAGCTCTTTCAAGATACGCTTCGAAGCCATCAGCGTCCAGATCCTACCTTACCCCAAAACCCTAGATCAACTCAGCTCAATACATACATAAAATCTACATATAGAGCGACATAGCAGATGCGTGAGTGTGTGTGAGTGAGAGAGAGAGATGGGCTCAGTAACCTCGAAGATCCTCCTCCGGTTATTAGAGTTGCTGAGAGGGAGAAGGAGAAAAAAACAGCTACTGGGCAACTGTGTGAAGCTCTTCTCTTCTGTCCAATGCTTATTTGATGGCGACGTGTTGGGCGGGCCCCATCTTTATTTATTTATATTTTCATTTGTTTGTGTTTTTTGCACTTTTATCCCTTTACGATGGACAGCACAAGACAGTACTGGACTATTGGTCTTTTCGTTTCCCACAGTCTTTAAACTTGAATTAGATACCAAATAATTACACTAAACACTTAATTCCCACTGTCTGTGATTTTTGTTTTGTTTTGAAAGATTATTATTTGCGCCGACACTTCTGGTTGGGTTTTAGTTACCCAGCACGATACCTCATTGAAATAATTGTGTGACTTATGAACTAACCAACTATCGTGAGTGATAACTTAATTGATTTACATGTTTATAGTTAACGCTATTAACTCCTAACTCTACCCAAAAAATGAGGTTGAATTTGAATTAATTAATTTATCTGATTAAATTTTAACCTTGGCAAAATACCAATTATACCATCACTTTCTCAAATCTTTATCTCCTAAATTTGATCTAAAAAGTTCTCAAAACCATTCAAAAATTTTACTTACAGAGTTGTATTGAACATGCTCAATTGAGCATATAAAGAAACAACCTTCTGCATGTTAAAAAAGTAGGAAGATTTTGACGATTCATAATGAAATATCTACAATATTTCATGTTTGACGACATAAAATATGAATAATGAAACATGATGAATAATATACCTTTTAGTGGCATTACAATTCTCCTAATTAACCATTTCTCATCATAATGAACCGTTCCACTTAAAAACTTCAAAAAAAAAAAATCACCAGACGGATTACTTTTTTTATATTTATATCATTTATTTAAAAACAAAGACTAAGATTGGAGTTTCGTGGGAAAAACAAAAAAAGAGGAAAACCTTTCATTGGATTTGAAGCATTGACTTGGGCTTAGATGATATGATCAAATTTGATATTTCAGTAAGTATATTTAAGTAGCTTCAACATAAATTTAATTCTCCCTATTTCAATAACCGATAAAACACAATCTCTTCAATCCCCAAAACATATCAATGACATCAGAATGGAGAAAGAAGACACGGCCGAAATCAGAATCTTCATCAATGGTAATATAGTTGCAACATCTATAGCTTTTTGCTGAATTTCAACTTACTATTCACATAGAGCCTCTTAAAATCATCCAAACCACACCTCTGAGACAGCTTGAATTCTTTTCTATACATGAGTTCTTGTCAAACAGATATACCAGATGAGGCGCGTAAAGAATGGCACCTTATGCGACCTGAAGGAATTGCAATGGCGTTGATATCTATTCTTGAAGGAATCAATTCATGCAGNACAGCTTGAATTCTTTTCTATACATGAGTTCTTGTCAAACAGATATCCCAGATGAGGCGCGTAAAGAATGGCACCTTATGCTACCTGAAGGAATTGCAATGGCGTTGATATCTATTCTTGAAGGAATCAATTCATGCAGCCGCACATATGGCCCCTGCAATCACGATATAAACAAATATCATTCAGTTTGACCATTCTTCATAGGTGTGAAAGAAAAGAATAGAGAACGAATAGCAAATGTATATTGCTTTGGTGTAATCTTTCATATACATGAGCAGGTTTATTTATAATACAAGAGAGTAGTGAAATTTCCTGATCTAACCAATGTGGAACAAATACATGAATAGTAACATTATGTACATTAACAATAGGAATGAACCAACATTCCCGTGAAGGGGAGTTACAGGAATTTACGCCTTTGTTTGAGTGCCAAGTGGTCCAACCACTGGATGGGCTCAAGCATGTGATACTACAAGCGTTCAGTCCCAACTTTTTCATATTATGTTCATTTGAAAATAAACCATTGATTTGATTTTAGATGAGAGGTTGTACTAAAAATTGTTAGGCAGTCAAAAAACTTGTTCTGTGGGCAGCATATCAAACCAGATGACGCATTTTTAACATATTGGCTACATAATCTACATGTATTCGATCTTCCAATTTTTTTTGATATTCCTGCCTCATGCGCAGAAAGAGAATGGGCACGAATTCCCCCATCCACTTTTTCCAGTTCTGACAATAAATCTGCATGTATTAAGTTTTTCTATAGATAAAAAAACCTATATTACCTACACAGTACCAGAAAACAACAAATCAATGAGGTGTTAAGCAAGAGGAAAGTTACACAGCTTGCATTGACATAAACCACATGATTAAGATTTCACAGGAATTGTTTTATCTGTGGTTTAGTTATTCACCCAAGAACAACTAGTTATAGGTTTAACTGTTTGTTACCACAGCACAAATCTTGCAATTCAATTGTTATAGATAGTATTTAGGGTTCCACAAAAATTGGGAAGCCAAAAATGCAGACATAATTCAAAAAGCAATAGAATACAATTAAAGAAGTACATAAGAATCAAGGTGGTGACACATGAAAAAAAATTCAAGCCAAAAAAGAAGAATACTTCTTATGCAACTTATAGTGGGTAGGTCCAAAAGGGACCTTGTACTATACTCAGCAATGGTGGAGGTCAGCTGAGACTGGGTATGGACTTATAACATGCAAAAGGATAATACTTCAACCAGAAAATAAATCATGCACTAATATAACACCAGCTGTTCCTTTCCATTGCTCTTTTCGTGTTTTCCAAGNGTGGTGACACATGAAAAAAAATTCAAGCCAAAAAAGAAGAATACTTCTTATGCAACTTATAGTGGGTAGGTCCAAAACGGACCTTGTACTATACTCAGCAATGGTGGAGGTCAGCTGAGACTGGGTATGGACTTATAACATGCAAAAGGATAATACTTCAACCAGAAAATAAATCATGCACTAATATAACACCAGCTGTTCCTTTCCATTGCTCTTTTCGTGTTTTCCAAGTGCAAAACACAAAAACATACACATAAACTCACACGCAGAAAGAGAGAGAGACCTGTCACCCAAGAAGAACAGCAAAACTTCCCTTCATCGACATGCTTCACATCAAGCCCAATGAACCATGATCCAGTACTCACATCATCATGGGCATATGAACGAAGAATAGATCTGTAGAACCAAGACAGAGAAAGCCAACGTAGTCACTTCTAAGTTTTTGTTCGCTGCTCAATTGAAAATGAGAGAAGATTATAATAATAATAATAATTTAACCTGTTAATCGAAATGAAATGAGCCAAGCTCTGTGATATGGCATATATCTCGCCAGAAGCATGTCGGAAGTATCTATTCATTGAAAAGAGTTAAATTTTAGAGGTTAGTAGAAGGAAGTGTACAAGGACCTTAGTATCTAAACAATGAGGAACACATATATGGCATACAGTTTCCTTCATGACATAACAAAAAATTGAACTATCTGATCCACTTATTACTACAATAATATCAGGGAAACATAAAGTGATTACATATCCATCCTCCGAGTGGCACTGTAGCATTTGTCTATAGCTATATGAGAAAAAGGTAAAATCAAATGTGGGGATACTCACGATTTCCCATCCCCAAATTTCCACCAGTCTGGTTCATACCATTTGTCCGTCCTGCAGATATTAGGTGACGTAAAGATTATTAATGACAGTGTAGTCTAATGTCAAACTTCTCATTGTTCTTAATCGTATACTCACTGCTGAGAGAAAACTTCGCCTGCTTTCATACACCCAATATAAACACGAGGCTTATCCAAATGAGTAGTAAGAACTGCTCCCAGGACGTCTGTACAACAAAAGGATAATCCACAATGATAAGTATGGACTGGGAATTGCTAAATCTGTGTAGTTTTGGTGATTGTTTAGCATGGTTTTAAGTTGTTATTGTGTGCACTAACATCACTTTTGCATTTGCTTTCTACTAACAAAATTATAAGTACTTTTCTTAGAGCATTGATGCGTGAAAAATTCTACAAAGGGCCGGGTTAATATTAGAGGTGTCTTCTTTCAGTCTCATTTAAATAGTCATGCTTGGAATGGCTGAAGCACTAGAGCAACTCTGGCAACATCCATGTCCTTTGATGAAATAAAATAAATAATTCAACATCTCTCTACGTCACATATAAAGCACAGTATCATAACACATTCAAACGCTATAAAGTTCTGACAGGATGAACTAGTAAAAATACTTTTTTACATGAATTAATGAAACGACACTCGCACTTGTAGAGTGCATTGCAGTATTACTTTTGTTCCATGATAGAGGCATCAACAAAAATTGAAATACTCTAACATCGAGTAGATTCTCCAATATAATATGTATGTATTACTTAGTCAATTCTGTGCATACAACAAAAGACCACTTATGCAAACAGGGAAAAAAGGGCAAACAAATGAAATTCCTTAATGTTTCCACTTTCCATGTGATGTGTACATTTCCATAGTAAATAGGTTTTCCCCCAACTTCATATTAAGACCACTTCATGGTAATAATCTCAACTAGAGTAACACCCAAGCCAACAAACTATCAAGTTCAATTGCTAATCTACAATATGGAATACATACCAATATTGACATAAAGATCATCATTGACCTTAACAAAGAACTCAGCATCCCAGTGGTCCACAGCGTGAATGAAGAACAATTTTGTCTTTCTTGTTTGCTCCCCCGAAGCCTCCACATGATCATTCTGTTCTCTCCACAATTTTACATTCAAAAACTTAAGCTTAAAAGAAACGATTATACTTCCACAATAGTTTATTTCTTCAACAAATCAATTAATAAAGCATAACACTACTATAACCGAAAGTTGAACATACAAGAATAATGAAGTCATTGGTCAGCCTATTCTCATNGACAAAACAATTAGTAAAGCATAACACTATTATAACCGAAAGTTGAACATACAAGAATAATGAAGTCATTGGTCAGCCTATTCTCATTGTAAATATCCCTGTCCAAACTGTCTCCCCGGTTTGCACTGCAGGTCATATACAATCAATCAAATGCAGCATACAACATATCTTTTTTAACTTTCAGCTTGTCGATATAAAGACCTTCTTCCTATTACAAACTGTATAATTATGCCCCTTTGATCCTCCAGCTTTTTCAAAGCTTCACCTGCACACGTTAGTTCTGCATAAGTATTACTCAACTAAAAAACTATAGAGAGGGGGAGAAAACCACTGTATTTAAAAGTGGAATGCTCCAAAGATACAAGTTGCCATATTCTTGACCTAAACATATCACCAAGTTCATAAGACTTGGCATGAATTTCATCATACTATAAACAAAAAACAAGGAATCAAATCTATTTCAGGCAATTCANCATAAGTATTACTCAACTAAAAAACTATAGAGAGGGGGAGAAAACCACTGTATTTAAAAGTAGAATGCTCCAAAGATACAAGTTGCCATATTCTTGACCTAAACATATCACCAAGTTCATAAGACTTGGCAGGAATTTCATCATACTATAAACAAAAAACAAGGAATCAAATCTATTTCAGGCAATTCATAAAGATTTCTTAATGTTATTATGTAAATATACGTGTACTGACAAAGAAATCATAATCGAAAGGAACTTAAGCACAAACTCATATCCTTATGACATCATAACTAAGACAACCCAGTGCAACCTACAACATTCATGCATGCCAAGATCAATATCAGAGCCCAAGAAGCATTTTGAGCTTGGCATGCATCCATTTTGTGATGGTTAAGTTACACATGGAGCTGTATCGAGATGATTTGGATGGGCAGTTAGAGCAGACACCTAGTTAAAGTGTTCCCATCCTCATGACTTTGAATATCAACACGTCGCTTCTTGGATGCTCCTAAAGAGATGTAGAGGTGCCATTAGTCCTATGGGAAATGTGACCCCGTCCCCTGTTACACTCTACAATGCATATGGATGCTGTTTTCAAGTTGGACGACTTCATGTGGTCATATTGATTAGCCACATGTGCTGGCCTTACCAAGTTCCTATCAGACACTAAGACACCATGGATACTAGCTAGTCCACCTCATATATGGCAAACCAATAATGGATTTTAAGAGCACTATATTGTATGCCCTGGAAGCCGGAGCCCATCCAATTGGGAAGTACACCCCTGAGCCCAAGGCATCTAACTCATGAGCAAGAGTAAGAGTGGGTGATTCAAGATAAAAGTGATAAACCGTTATGGTCCAATATGTCTTCAGGTTTCCCATGATACAACATTAGAAAATGATTGTTTGCATGTTTTTTTGCCAAAAATTGGTTCAAAATTTGAGTTTTTGGTGACGAGTGCACTGGCATAACTGGTTAACATGAAACAAGGAACAACAAAAATAAAACTCACAAAAGGGAAGAGTATTCTACCAGAAGGCATCCATGCCTTACGAATTGCGTCTCTATTGTTCTTGTGGCCAAACCTTGTAATGATTCCTATGACAGCTAGAAGCTTCTTTTTTGTGTGAGTCCCACTAATTTCTGAGAGATGCTTAGAAACAAAACCTTCCTGCCTAGCCTTTCCCAGCTCCATCTGAAGAGTAGCTAACCTCTTTTGTTGTTCCCTGGCACACAAAAAACAATCATCCCTCTACCTGTGTGAAGTTGTTTCGCTGGAATTCAAAAGGCCCAGACAAACCAACATGGCAGATGGCCAAAATCAACTCACCTGCAGGCTATGATTTTAAGTGTATCATCAACAGATACAGCAGAGTTCCCCTGAAAATGTAAGACCGGTTGTTTGCTTTAATCTTCTGAATTGTCATCAAATTAACTCATAGAAATATGGGAAAGCATAGAATAGAATTGAAATGGCAAAGATTAACTCCTCAAATTAACAGAGGTCATAGCTACTCATGGTACACAAGAGGTAGCCATATGACTAAGCAATGGATGATTCATGTTCTTTGTTTATAAAATGGGCTCAGACAAATAGGACAAAATGTTTTGAGTGGTTATTCACACAAGGCTGATCTAAAAAGGGGTTGCATTTCAACTAGGCCTGAATATTTCGGAGCTTTAACAGTTTCTGTGTGTACCAAAGTATATTCAATCTATATTTCGGAAACTTCTCCATCTGGGGAGAATCTTATCATGAGGATGATTTTACTAAAAGTGGGGATTACTTAAGGAACAAACTATTGATTTGTTTTGGAAAAACTCCTATCAAAAGAAAAAAAAAATGATGTTAAACCCCTCGAAATGACATTATATATATTCCCTCATAATAATTCTAAGTCTACTAGCCCTATTCTATTATGTCTTTCTGGGCAACTTCCAAAGAGAATTACCGCAAGGAGAGTTTATGGACAAAAAATGAGCATTCCGACGGCTTTTGCCACTTATGATCAAAGTTCACAAGAGTGAGACGGTTCCGGGCCAGGAATGACGAATAAACAGATCCATTTTGCAAGATCACGGGTAGTTTCTACAAAGGATCGGGCTAATGACATATATAATACTTGAATTCTCGATGTAGACGCTAAATAGTTGGTTCTCATCCTTGAGAAGCTACAAGTGTAACAGGAGCATCTGTCAACAAAGGATCACCCTAAGATGATCATCTCATGGCTATTGAGAACGAATCAAATCAGATAGTTCTATTTCTCAATCTTTCTAACTTGCTCCTACGGGACCAAGGTCAAAAAGATTTATAAAACAGATATTAGGGGTTCTAAGAAAGTATTTCACAATCAATTTACCAAAAAATAAGTTTTAATTTAAATCCATTAGGTATTTCATTTTTATGGCAGATTCAAAGAAACCGCTGATGTTTTTGCATCCATTGCAATAACTGCTGGAGGACGAACACCACTAGGATACTCAGTAGCAGTCTCACACATAAATTGGTGGATTGATATGCAGACATTCCCAATGACCAACAATATAAGATGGATAGAGATTTTGTATTAAATTTCTAAAAGCAGCTGTTTTAAAATAATCAGGTTATTGAAGAAACTTAAGATGAATTGAATGCTTTCCAAAACTCAATGGACTATAAACAGCATGCATTGATTCACTGATTGCATATTATTTCAAGACATTGACATCACAAGGGCCACATAAACCAACATCCACAAATCCGTATCACCAGTATAAACAAGCAATAACAAGACCAGAACCCATTTATAATTTGTGTATGTGTAACCAACCAAAGTGAACGAAACATGAGGAGTACATACCAAATCTTAAATAAAACTAATAATACTAGTGGGTACCTGACCAGTTCTACTATCAAGCTCGCTAACTAGATAAGCCCTGTTCTCCGCATCCTGCCACAGTCTATTCAAGGTACATTTCTCAATTAAAAAGGCCAAATGAAAAAGATAAAGTAATCATTACGTTGCAGGTTGGTATACGCAGAGAGAAAGAGAGAGAACTGACTGGCCGGCGATGTAAAAGTAAGCCATGGTGGCGAACATAGAGAACATGAGAAATGAAACTCGAGATCCAAAGCCCGAACTAGATGAAGAAGATAGCCGGTTACTGGACCCCCGGCTATTCATTTTCCCTATGCCGTCGTTTCAATATCGGAGAACTCAACGGCACCGCAGGCCTTCAGGCAGTTCTCATGGAAGATCGACAATGCGGCTGTTGTGAGTTGTGACTGAAAGTACATAGATTAGAAGTTCTACCAGCAAGCAACTTAGCAATTTTCACCCAGACTAGCGAAAGGGAAAGGCGCGGTTTCATTATTTGAAAGGACCAACATGCCCTCTTCGTCACACTGACAACTAGGCTGTTAATCATTCTGAGCCGGTCGACTCGAGCGTGGTTTGACTTTGGCCCAGGTCCGGTTCGTTCGTGTTCGGACTATTTTTTAAACGAATCTAAACTTGAACAAATTTTTAGGTTCATTTAAAAAACATGCCCTATAAGTTCGATTCAAATTCAATAGACTCAGTTTATTTATTGTAAATACTCGAGTTTGGCTCGGGCTCGACTTATTTTTGATTCGTTTACATTCGACTCATTTCTTAAACGAGCAAAATTTGAACAATTTTTTAAGCTCAATTAAGAAACAAATTTTTTAAGTTCGATTTGACCTCGACTCAGGCCCGTTTGACTAACAACGTTATTGACAAGGTTGCTGAAATAACAAGGAGACAATTATTTCGTAGGATTACATTTAGGTTCACTAGATTAGGTCCTATATTTTATGTTATCTCCTAAACTAACCACTTTCTTACATTAGACCTTAAGTTTATTGGTTTGAGTTTCAGTTTGCTTCAATTATGAACTTCTATCCAATTTTTCATGGTAAATCAACCCAAAAATAAAACTACACGAGATTTAACTCCGTACGAAAAGCTTTTTTTTTTTTTGGGTATCTGCATTTATTTTTGAAGCAACCTTCTTCACACATTTTCATTTTTTTACCCTTTTTTGACTAATTTAAATATTTATAGATTTAAATTTGATTGAAATATTGTTCTTTCTTATCGAGGCCTCAATTGATTCTTAGTTGGTTCTTTTTTGGTAATTTAATGTTTGTTAACATTATTAATTGGTTCATTCGTCCTTTTGCCATGAATTTCTTCCAAATTTGATAACACAAAAGAACCCAATTTTTTAATTCCTTGAATTTATATTTTCATTTCATTTTTCATGGCCTATGCATTGTGGGGCTTAGAATAACATTTGGGATATGCACAAGGATTCAAGAAATAGGAATGATGTGTTTTTATGCAGATTTTGAATAAATGGCTATGAAAAGAAAAATCAATTAAAAATGGTAGGATTTCAATGATTAACACATTGAGATGCCAAATTTGGCGCATCACAATAAATGCATTTTTTACAAATAATTTTATGCATCTAAACTCAAAAAACACGTGTTTTAACTGGTTCTTTGTTATATAAATAATCNTATATATTCCCTCATAATAATTCTAAGTCTACTAGCCCTATTCTATTATGTCTTTCTGGGCAACTTCCAAAGAGAATTACCGCAAGGAGAGTTTATGGACAAAAAATGAGCATTCCGACGGCTTTTACCACTTATGATCAAAGTTCACAAGAGTGAGACGGTTCCGGGCCAGGAATGACGAATAAACAGATCCATTTTGCAAGATCACGGGTAGTTTCTACAAAGGATCGGGCTAATGACATATATAATACTTGAATTCTCGATGTAGACGCTAAATAGTTGGTTCTCATCCTTGAGAAGCTACAAGTGTAACAGGAGCATCTGTCAACAAAGGATCACCCTAAGATGATCATCTCATGGCTATTGAGAACGAATCAAATCAGATAGTTCTATTTCTCAATCTTTCTAACTTGCTCCTACGGGACCAAGGTCAAAAAGATTGATAAAACAGATATTAGGGGTTCTAAGAAAGTATTTCACAATCAATTTACCAAAAAATAAGTTTTAATTTAAATCCATTAGGTATTTCATTTTTATGGCAGATTCAAAGAAACCGCTGATGTTTTTGCATCCATTGCAATAACTGCTGGAGGACGAACACCACTAGGATACTCAGTAGCAGTCTCACACATAAATTGGTGGATTGATATGCAGACATTCCCAATGACCAACAATATAAGATGGATAGAGATTTTGTATTAAATTTCTAAAAGCAGCTGTTTTAAAATAATCAGGTTATTGAAGAAACTTAAGATGAATTGAATGCTTTCCAAAACTCAATGGACTATAAACAGCATGCATTGATTCACTGATTGCATATTATTTCAAGACATTGACATCACAAGGGCCACATAAACCAACATCCACAAATCCGTATCACCAGTATAAACAAGCAATAACAAGACCAGAACCCATTTATAATTTGTGTATGTGTAACCAACCAAAGTGAACGAAACATGAGGAGTACATACCAAATCTTAAATAAAACTAATAATACTAGTGGGTACCTGACCAGTTCTACTATCAAGCTCGCTAACTAGATAAGCCCTGTTCTCCGCATCCTGCCACAGTCTATTCAAGGTACATTTCTCAATTAAAAAGGCCAAATGAAAAAGATAAAGTAATCATTACGTTGCAGGTTGGTATACGCAGAGAGAAAGAGAGAGAACTGACTGGCCGGCGATGTAAAAGTAAGCCATGGTGGCGAACATAGAGAACATGAGAAATGAAACTCGAGATCCAAAGCCCGAACTAGATGAAGAAGATAGCCGGTTACTGGACCCCCGGCTATTCATTTTCCCTATGCCGTCGTTTCAATATCGGAGAACTCAACGGCACCGCAGGCCTTCAGGCAGTTCTCATGGAAGATCGACAATGCGGCTGTTGTGAGTTGTGACTGAAAGTACATAGATTAGAAGTTCTACCAGCAAGCAACTTAGCAATTTTCACCCAGACTAGCGAAAGGGAAAGGCGCGGTTTCATTATTTGAAAGGACCAACATGCCCTCTTCGTCACACTGACAACTAGGCTGTTAATCATTCTGAGCCGGTCGACTCGAGCGTGGTTTGACTTTGGCCCAGGTCCGGTTCGTTCGTGTTCGGACTATTTTTTAAACGAATCTAAACTTGAACAAATTTTTAGGTTCATTTAAAAAACATGCCCTATAAGTTCGATTCAAATTCAATAGACTCAGTTTATTTATTGTAAATACTCGAGTTTGGCTCGGGCTCGACTTATTTTTGATTCGTTTACATTCGACTCATTTCTTAAACGAGCAAAATTTGAACAATTTTTTAAGCTCAATTAAGAAACAAATTTTTTAAGTTCGATTTGACCTCGACTCAGGCCCGTTTGACTAACAACGTTATTGACAAGGTTGCTGAAATAACAAGGAGACAATTATTTCGTAGGATTACATTTAGGTTCACTAGATTAGGTCCTATATTTTATGTTATCTCCTAAACTAACCACTTTCTTACATTAGACCTTAAGTTTATTGGTTTGAGTTTCAGTTTGCTTCAATTATGAACTTCTATCCAATTTTTCATGGTAAATCAACCCAAAAATAAAACTACACGAGATTTAACTCCGTACGAAAAGCTTTTTTTTTTTTTGGGTATCTGCATTTATTTTTGAAGCAACCTTCTTCACACATTTTCATTTTTTTACCCTTTTTTGACTAATTTAAATATTTATAGATTTAAATTTGATTGAAATATTGTTCTTTCTTATCGAGGCCTCAATTGATTCTTAGTTGGTTCTTTTTTGGTAATTTAATGTTTGTTAACATTATTAATTGGTTCATTCGTCCTTTTGCCATGAATTTCTTCCAAATTTGATAACACAAAAGAACCCAATTTTTTAATTCCTTGAATTTATATTTTCATTTCATTTTTCATGGCCTATGCATTGTGGGGCTTAGAATAACATTTGGGATATGCACAAGGATTCAAGAAATAGGAATGATGTGTTTTTATGCAGATTTTGAATAAATGGCTATGAAAAGAAAAATCAATTAAAAATGGTAGGATTTCAATGATTAACACATTGAGATGCCAAATTTGGCGCATCACAATAAATGCATTTTTTACAAATAATTTTATGCATCTAAACTCAAAAAACACGTGTTTTAACTGGTTCTTTGTTATATAAATAATCAAGAGTAAAGACAAACATTATTTAAACTGAACGAACTTAATCTAGCAAACACTGATATTAAGCGATTTATAGGCACACAGAGTCNATTCTTTGTTATATAAATAATCAAGAGTAAAGACAAACATTATTTAAATTGAACGAACTTAATCTAGCAAACACTGATATTAAGCGATTTATAGGCACACAGAGTCCATATAATTTGGACGAAAAAACAACAACTTGGGTATGTGAAAGAGAATATTGAAAGAAATAAACAAAGAAAGCAAGAAAGTGACATTATAGGAAAAAAATAGAACTTTTGTGGAGGTTTATTACAATTTAAGGAATTGTAGAGTTTTATTGCAATTAAAGGAAGTACAAGGACTTGACTTGGTATTATTGGAGGTACACTGTGGGTGGTGTTTTGTAATTGTGATAAAANTAGAACTTTTGTGGAGGTTTATTACAATTTAAGGAATTGTAGAGTTTTATTGCAATTAAAGGAAGTACAAGGGCTTGACTTGGTATTATTGGAGGTACACTGTGGGTGGTGTTTTGTAATTGTGATAAAATATCGGGGATAATTAAGTATGAGTCCTGAATCTCGTGCTTCAACGAATGAGCAAGCATTTAACGATAATTTTATGTCATTCTCTGCTTCTTCTCATTTTAAGATCCAAGCAGGTAAGGGGTCACTCGAACTAGAGTCTACTTGAAGCACTAATCACTAGAAAAGGCTCCGATCGATTATCAAATATTGTAATCAGATCCAAAGATGAACGACACAGATGTCTCCAAGTAGATCCAATGGTGGATTCATCCACCAAGANGAAGCACTAATCACTAGAAAAAGGTTCCGATCGATTATCAAATATTGTGATCAGATTCGAAGATGAACGACACAGATGTCTCCAAGTAGATCCAATGGTGGATTCATCCACCAAGAAGCTGAAGAAAAGGTCAATGAGATCTCTGTCTCTACTGAAAAAGTAAAGTCAATTTCGACAGAAACTCTTACAGTTCAAATCGAATGCTGTGTATATATTGATGAATTATATCCAGTAATCGTGTGTGAAAATCGTTGTGATTGTAGGAGTTTAATATAAAGAAGTTACAACNAA